GCAAGGAGGCCCCCTCAGAAGACTTATAAGGGTAACAGGGTTAGGGATGTCTCATTACTTAAGGGTCCTGGATTTGGGATTCCTTCTTCCTTCTATTTCCATCTACTCTGTCCTTTAATACCTTCACATCAGAGCAGGTCTGAGCCCTGGAGGTGATTGGCTCTGAAGCCTTGAAAGAGTGCTCAAAAAGTCCTTGAAATGTGGGGCACCTGGTGGATTGAAGGCATGTGGTTTGCTGACTGGTGAGTTTAGCCTTTGGGTCCAGCTGGAGAGCATTAAAAACTGTACTGGAGGTGCTTTTCACTGCATTTGGAATGAGTCCTTTGGTCTGCGTAGAGTTTAAATAAAATCCTGCCATGTTTGCTATCATGTCTGGTAAAGTGTCCGAGATCAATATGAATGTATGAGTATGCTTATAATTCTTTTGCTCTGGTGGTTTTTCTCAGCTTGTGCTCTTACCTTAAGCATCCAAATAAGACTAACTAATGTATAGAAAGAAGCATGTTATGGATGACTTCATTGACCCCCCCCCATTGTTGTTGTTTTCCCCCCGTTTTTGAAGTTGCTTATCTCATGGGGGAATGAGTCTGTGATGGATTAGAACAAAGCAGCGACCTCCTGCTCTGGTTCACAGTAAGGTTTTCCTGTGAAGCTGCTGAGTTTAAGCATTCATCATCTCAGGGTGTAAACCTTTTGGAGATTCCAGTAAAAGATAGTTTTGCTAAGCTGAAAAAGACCGTCCTCTTGGGTGCAAAAGTCTTTATGATTTCGGTCTAGGTCTGGCTGAGGTTTGTTCTGGTGCTAATTTGAGGGAGCGCATTAAAGCTCCTGTGAGGAATATTTAGCTGGTTATAAATAGTTCCGAACTAAATAGCTCTTTTCAATGTCTGAAACTGCAGCAGGGTCGGTGTCAGACGAATCTCACTACAGAAACAGCCATTGTTTCCATTTTTCCACAGAAAAGGTTGTGAATGAGTCATTATGTTGACTCAAGAGAAGTTAAAAAAAAAAAAATCTTGTACAGACACATGTACAGGATAAAATCTTTAATACAAAAGAGGTGTCCACAGGGGGCGCCAAAATCAATGCAAACTAACTGTTCATCACAGGAGTGGATACGTAGGACTTTTGGAGCCAAGTAACCTTCAAAATCTTATTGCAATTTCAGGTCTGAGAAACTCTGAACAACTAAAGTTATAACTCAGACCACAAGTTCTTTGGCTCTCTCAGTTCCTAGTGCAGCTATGGTGCAATCCAAACCTGGCATGCCTTTGCCCTCCCTGAACTGGTTTTTGTGGGTTTGAGAAACCTCCTGGCAGGTGGTCCTGTGCTGTCTGAACACATTTTCTGCTTAGTCAGATGGCTGTCTGGATACATTACTGCTGATTTAAGCCAACCTCGGACTTCATCACATCCCTAATGGTCCTGACTTCTGGTTTACCCACCATAGCAAACCCTGTGAGAGGTTTCAAGCTGTGAGGCAGAAGAAGCATGTTACAAATATAACTTAAGGGAATAACTGCAGGGTTGTTTGATGAATTCACATGTAAACGTGATTAATAAGGATCTCTTTGCATATGCTTTATCAGCAGAACAAGAGTCTGAGATCGTCTGATAGTAGAAGCTAAATTAAATCAATACATGTGAACATGTACAAACAGGCAAAGTCACACCTTTCTCAGTTTTGTTTTTTTGGACATTAAACAAGCGTAAGACTTTTCACTCAAGCATTGCAAACATCACATTGTCTACATTTACAATCAGGGAAATAACAGCAATGCTACAGTTAAAGTGCAGCTGGCAGAGGTAGAGGAGTATGCTTTAGTCATAACAAAATCATGCTGATTCCTCATAATGCTGTAGAATTTTAATCACCTGATATTGAACCAAGGGTCATGTCATATTTTACATTCTCAGCAGCAAGGCAACCTTTTAGCCTGACTTGATGTAATTATAATTCCACCTCTTTCAGGGCCCTCTTCAGGCTAATATCTATCATGACTTTAATCAGCATCTTGTTACACAGGGTGTGGAGCCCCTCTGCTGGTGGCTCTAAAGCCAATACACTGACACTTGAGAATTGTTCAACTGTCCTAATGCCACCCTGTGTTGTCCTTAGAAGCTGGGATGTTTTGTGAAATGTAAATAAAAGATGATTGTGCATGATATGCAAACTACTGAAACCCCATATTTGATTAGAAAAAAACAGAGATATGTCAAATGTTGAACATGAGAAATGTCATTGTTTTGGAAAATGATATGCCAAATTTGAATTTGATGCCGGCAACAGATTTAAAAACAAAAGTTGGGACAGGGTCAAGTTGCCTTTTGTTGCATCACTTTTTCTTTTAACAGCACTTGGTAGGGTTTCGGGAACTTCAGTGACACATTTCTGTAAGTTCTGCAGAATGTTTTACAAGAGTTGCTTAATGTAGGATTTCAGCTGTTCAAGCATACCATGGTCTCCTTGTCATGATTTGGTTTTGTATTTTGGTCTATTTCAGAGTTTAGATTTTCTTGTTTTAGTGTTTCTCATTCTTCCCTGGTGTTGCTTTACTCCATAACTGTAAAGTTTCTAGTGCTTGATTTATTTTCTCTTTTCCCTGTGTGTGCATTCCTTAGTCTTGTCTGCGGTGTCTCATGTCTTATCCTGCCTTTGTGTTTCCCTCCAGTTTTGATTGCCCTCATTGTCTGCACCTGTGTCGCTTGTCTCACCTGTGTTTGATTGCCCCTTGTATTTATGTTTCTTCCCTTCTGTGTCAGTTCATTGTCAGATTTAATTTTCTTCCCTGTGATTCCTCGTGGCTCCCTCTGTATTTGACCTTTTGTGTTTTTTTTGGTTTTTTTTCAGTTTGGACATTTTTCAAGAAGTAAGCCTTCTTTTGGCTTTTTGTTAAAATAAAAACCTTTGTTTAGATTCTGCACTTGGGCTACTGTGTCTTATTTACACTTCATAATGCTACAAAAATTTTCAAAGGGTAACAAGTCGGGACTGCAGTCAGACCAGTTTTTAAACCCGGACTCTTTTGCTTCTGAGCCATTCTGTAGTACATTAAGATTGTGGTTTAGCATGGCCTTTCTGACATAACCTGACAAATAAATTGTCTATTTGTTAAAATTTGTTGCTTCAAAACCTGTATGGCTCATCATTAAATGGTGCCTTCACAAATGTGCAGGTCACCGATGCCATGTGAAATAATCATAGACTGTAAATATTAATGCATCTTAATGAAGTCTTCTTAAATCTTAATTGAATTCTGAACTGATAACAAGTTGAATGATCCCTCTCCTCTTTAGCCCAGAGAAGATATTTCCCAACAGTCAAGTCAAAATGTGACTTGTCAGATCTTGTCAGAGTTTTCCACTTCACCTCAGTCCATTTTAAATGAGCCCCAGACCCGGAAAAAGGCGTTTCTGTAGAATGCAGTTTCATCTTTTCATGGTAGAGTTACAGCTAATGTTTGTGAATACAGCTATGAACTGTGTTCTCAGAAAATGGTTATTGGAAGTTTTTCTGAGCCCATGCAGTAACGTCCACTCTAGAATCCAGTCTGTTTTTAATGCAGTGCCATCGGAGGGCCTGAAGATCACAGCCACCCAGTATTGTTTTGTGGCCTTGTCCCTTGCTACATTTATCATAATTATCTGAATATTGTATTGTAGACAATGAAATCCTCAGATTCTTTACAACTTTATATAAGAAAATATTCCCCCCAAAAATGTCGATTGCCTGCACGGTATTTCTGTGATATGAACCCCTTTACTCCAGAAAGGGATTCTCTCTTTATACCCAATAATGTTTCTAACTTGTTCCCAGTTAATCCTAACTGTGGTCTCAGGTGGTCTCTGTTTCAACATTTGACTTCTTTATTTTCACATTGTTCTTTTTCTCTTTCATTTCATTTCATTTATTATACAGGAAAGTTTAAAAGGAACATTACGTCACAGTTTAATGGGCCTGACTCAGTTTAAAAACTGGTTTCCAGCAGGTTCCCTGTTCTGCGGAACATGAAACATAAACCAGTCATGACACATCAAGACAAACACATTTACAGGACATCAGCATGAGCTAGGCAAATACAGACAAATAGAAACAAACAGTACAGATACTGCGAACAGTACATGAACAATTAGTGAGTGCAGGTGTAAGTGTGGAGAAGGTGTCGTTTGTATGTATTTCTGAAATATGAGGTCGATGGTAAAGTTCTAATGTGATGGGGAATGTCATTCCAAATGTTGGTGTATGTGTAAATGAAGGACTTCCGACCACAGTTGTTTTTGTATGTATACTTGTCTCATTTTCTGTGTCGGTAGAATTGCAGCGAGTGTTGGTGAAGTGCTGTTTTTAATCTGAAAATAGTATGTTGTTTGCACTGTTGACTTAGCAATACTCAGGAAACTAAAAAAACAACACTTTTTTTTTTTTAAATGTCACACTTGGCCTCCCCCCCCTAAAATGTGACCCGGATAAAAAAAAAAATGTCACACTAGTTTTCATTGTGATTAAATGACGTGTCCTCGCTTGAATTCAAAATGCATTTCCTTATTTTTTTTCCTCCCCACACTGTTTTGGAAATACCATTTGTAATTATGTTGTTGTTTTTTTTTTTTTAATCTTTTTATTTTGAGTGGCTTAACTGGTCCTATAAGAGCTTTGGCATGTGAACATTTTTTTAAATTTTTTTTAAAGGAAGACAAATCTAACCAACAACAGACGTCTCCATCTTCTCATTGAGTCTCATGATCACACTGACGGGACGGTAGCCTACAGGAGGGGATCAGAGAGATGCTCCCCCCCCTCCCATCCAGAGACACAGCCTCCATGTGATCTCTCTCTCTCTCTCTCTCTCTCTCTCTCTCTCTCTCTCTCTCTCTCTCTGCTCGGGCCTTGACGTCACAAGTGCTCCTGTGCAGTCGCTATGGCAACATATTTCCCTATACCCCCTCTTCTTCTTCCCTCCCTCCCTCCCTCCCTCTCTCCCTCTCTCTCTCTCTCTCTCTCTCTCTCTCTCTCTCTCTGCTCTGGTAGGTCCACAATGGTACAGCCAGCATCTTGCAGCACAATGGTCGTAAGGTGGTGTTGAGTTGGAGGAAGAGTGATTCAGCATCAGCAGACCTCGTCTACGTCCATCTCTGCTTCTTTTTTCCTTTCCTCATCGCCGTTTTTTGCCTCGTCTTGTCCCCTTTTTGCTCATTCGCCATCTTTGTCTTTCACGTCTAAATGAAGCTTTCGGCTCCGCTCAGCGCAATGTTTGGCGTCGGGATGTTTTGAAAAAAAAAAGGACTGTCACCGGACTGGGATCGTCATCAGCTGGCACGGAATGGTAGGCGAAGGGCCGGGCTGGGTTTGTTTTAGATGTGGGTGCGATGGCTGCCTGGAGGGTGGAGTGATGAATATTGATTGGAAGCGAAGGTTAATGAAGTCCACTGGCGATGCCTTGGTGGGAAAAGGACAGCGACTTAAAAAAAAAATAAAAAAAATAACCAACCCCATCGTGATGCATTCACGGCCGCGGATGTTGTTGTTACAACAACTGGCATCTTTGTGCGGGGATTTCATTATGGCGTTAATCTTGACCTGACTCAATGTGCATCTCCATCCATACACACATCCTGCTTCAATATCACATCTTAATTATTGACAATAAAACCACAGCAAAAACGGGCTACAATCCAGTCTTGTTAATCAATATTTAGACTTTAAAAAAAACAAACATTTTATCATGCAATTACTTCTGTGAAACACAGAATTCTAGCTACTTTAAGAGGGGATAAACACTTCACTGTTGTATAGCGCGCAATGCATTTTTGATTAGAGGTGCCACAGTGCTGCAAATGGATGATGCTCCTCTGAACACAAGCCTTGCACGGGGCCACACAGCTACTGTAGGCCTGCATGCAGAGTTTGTCCATCCTCCCCCTCAGAAGTAAGCTGCGCACCTTGTGCATTATGCAGGCCATCACTACTTCACTGAGGGGATGGGACCACCCTCAGATCCATCCGAAGTGCTTTGGGAAGCAAGAAATTGTGAGACGAACAGGCTGAAGCACTGCTATTCTCTGTAGATTCATTTGGGAATTTTTCTATATGGGGAGGTTTTGTGTGTGTTTGTGCTGTATATTGATGTTCCTGGAGGGACTCTGAAGCTGTAATGCAGAGGGGGGACGGGATGTTATTCACCTTAGGCTTCACTCTGTGCAGGACATATGGGGTTTAAAGGAAATCAAGCTACATAGGAGGGTCATTTATCTAAATCTGCTTTGTTTATGGGAATCTTCTGCACTTGAATTATTGGCAAATTAAGAGGACAGAGATGATGGAACAGCACCAATTATACTCTCAGATTTCACATTCTTCCACCTAGCCTTTTCAGCGCACTGCATGCCCACAGTCCTGGACTAATTACTGGTGTGCAGTGCCGTGGAGTGAGTGAAGGTTTAAAGGTGTCACAACAAACTCCCCATGTTCAGGAGAAAAGAGAGAGAGAGAGGTTTTAGCGCTGTGACCTTGGCTGCTGAATAATTCAGGAGCAGGCTTCCATGCCTGTGAAAGTGCTGCAGGGAGCACGCTTAACAATTAAACAAAGCTTTTTATGGTGATTCTGCAGCGGCTGGAGAGACTGACATCTCTCTTCTAAGAGTGACATGGGTTAATCTCACGTCTCATTATCATCTTCACTTTGTGGAAAAGGATATGTCTTGAACAATTCCTTAAGAATTCTGTTAAATTTCTAACATAGCTTCAGTTTATAACCCCATCTGTTTTATTTGAGGTAGTGGACACTGCAGGATACTCACTGATATTGATTTTGAGGTAGACTGCTTGTTTGTCCGGTGGAAAATCATCAATGGAAACAGCCGACAGCAGACAAATGTTATCTTGCTATAGATGATGCTCGCATTTTAATTCCATTTTGTTTTCAGACTTTGCAGCATCAGTGTACTAATCCTTTGTTATGCAACAAACTAAGGCAGTGTAGATGAGATCATGATGGGATTGCAGGCTAAATTAATCAACTAAGTAATGACATGTATTTAAATGTATGATCATTTTTATTATCTGCTGATCTTTTATTTGGTCTGTAACGTGTCACAAATAAGGCTCATACAAATTTGACAGTTTCCAACAGTGCATGTTAAAATGTATTGTTTTGTCCAACCAACAGTAGAAAGGCAAATATATTTATTTCTAGAAAATGTCAGGCACTCTTTCTCTGAAATCTTCCTGACTTTCTTGTTCTCACAGGTAACTCACAGCAAGAGACTGATCCCTATCTGAAAAAAAGGTGGGGGGAGGGGGGGGGGTCTCTGCAGGTAGTACATGATGTGGTGGGCGAAGCGACAGACTTCAACACTATTATGACAATATTTGTCTTTATATCCAAGTATTTCATGTAGCTCGACATATATGTGGCATCAACAAAATAGTCGAGAAGAACATTCTCGCAAGCACATATTGAGGCAGTTTCATTACCAGCACGGCGATCGCACCTGATGCACGCTCTCAGTCTGGTCGTGGGATAAACATAGGATATAAATCATCTGCCCCTCCCACTGGCTCATGGTCAATTTTCCTCAATATTTTCCACTTTGTTTTCACATCAGCTGCTCACGCCAAGTCCACAATTCCAGGTGAGGGCGGAATCAAAATTCAGCTGTTTGTGTTGTTCAGACTCACAGCTTTTCAGCAGTTGTGTGCACGTGTGAAAGTGTCCTAAGAGAAAAGCAGCAAACTTAGCTGCTGACATTATTGGGAATGTTGTACATATTACTCTTTCAATTGGATATCAATTGAAATGGAAGATATTAAATGTAAATTAAATAAGAAAATGACTGGAAAGACATAATGGAATTAATTAAAGGTAAATGGTTTACTGGAGAGTAGATAAACATAAAAGCCAGGAAGGGTCTTTAATGTACAGTGTGGTTCTGCTTAGAAGGCCAGCATCTCTTTCAACCTTATCTTAAATGATCTTAATGAATTATTGAATCATAAACAATAATTATAGCCTACTACAAACTATCCTGGAAATATAAACCCACCAGAGTAAAGGAGCAAACCAAACACCATCCAGGTTCACAGTATTGCTCAGCTTGCATGCAGGTTGATAGAGGCTTAATGTGAACATTTCAGGACTTTTTCCATCCCAATTCTCGCTGACCATCAATTACTTAAATGTCCCCATCAGTCTTTTGGTGTCCATTGTGCCAAAGTTCCTATTATGATTGTGTGGAAGGTCAAAGTTGTCATTAGAAGTGGATGGATGAGGAACACTGGCATAGTCTATCATCACCAAACGACCCTGTCTGGCTCTTTTTACTTGCTGTGTAATACCAAGGACTTAATTCTCCATGCAGTTATCGGCTCAAATATTAAGAGGCAGAGTCAATAAATTCAGTTTTGTCAAGTTATGTAATTAAGCAAAGATCTAAAAAAACAAGAAGTATAAATAATTTGAGAAAATAAATGTTTAACAAGATAAGTAGGTCACCATGTGAAGGTTTACTTGTTTGTGTGTAGAATAATTAAGCCTGGACAAGTAACTGAAGGAAGGACTAAAAACTTACAAAGCATGATTGGCTCATATGTTTGCATGAGCAGGCGTCGATTTCTCATATCAGTTATATAGTATTTGGCTTTTATGAGTACGCCTTAAGCAGTGACTTACGGTGTTGAAGCAAATGCAGAAGTGCAAACACATGCAGTTCCTTGAGTGTCCACTTGAGGCTGTCTCCTAAAGCCAAGTATAAAAAATGGCACATTTAAAGTAGAAGTAAATATGTTTACATTACTGTGCTTAGCCTGAAGTAGCCTGAAGTGCACCTCCTCAAGAATATACCGATGCTTTGAAACAACGCAGACTGCAAGCCCTGTGATTGGTCTACATTTTCCTCTCCAGGATTGCACTGCAAAACATCGGGATACAGAGTGTAATTATGACACGAAGATAAATATATGTTCTTAGTTTCAAGAACCTCTGTGGGTTATATTAACAAAGGCTAACAATTAGCCTGAGCTAACAATGTTATCAAAAATGTAAATCCTGTCCATTCTATTCCAATGCGGTACATTTCATCTCCTCCAGTGTCTCCTCTCTTTTCTTATTTGTAATAATTGCAGTACAATGAACTGTTGCTCAGTATTTCTCAGTTCCTACTCCAACATAATACATTCGGTTTAAGTCGCTATGGTTTCCTGTACACAACAAATACAGAATGTGGCAGAACATGAAGCTATCGATATAACTTGAATAGAAATCACATTGCCAACTAGCGTTTGTAGGTGAAGTAATGCAGAGCTACGCAGACACCAACACACAAGTATGTAGTGTTCATGGTGGTGTATGCCACTACGACGTAGCTACCGCAAGGATTCGATGCCGAAATATTAACTTAAGACGTATGCATACATTTGCATACATTTGGCCGTGGTTGTGTTGACTGACAGGTGTAGATGTTTGCCAAGAGGCTTAAGGCCGTCTCACCTCTGACTCTTTGTCTGTTTCTCAACTGATCTAAAGTAAGGTTGAGATAGCATTTTCAAAATGGCAACCCCGTTTGTGGCTTCAAAACGCCGCTTAAAAAAACAATTGCCGATGTCACTGAGACTACGTCCATGTGTTACACAGTCTACAGTACGTCCACATTAATATGTTTACCAGAAGAAAAAAGTGATTATATGTTTTCATTAAGCTTTATTTTTCCTAAACAGTTATAGCTGGTTGGATTAAATTACACATCATTATTATTGCTGTGAAGGACAATCACTTTTATATATATATATATATATATATATATATATATATATATGTATTGTACTGTATATAAATATTCAGATCTAAACTTAAAGTTTCTGTTGAAACTTAATAATACATTTTTCAGTAATAAAACAATATTTTTCTGTGAGGGGTTGTCCCCACATACTTATAAGTAAAATAAAATTCTTGCTGTACAAAAGTCGTTTCCCCCTGGCTGCAGTAAAAAGAAATGCCCCTGCAGACTCAGATGCAGTTACATAATTAGATTTGATCAGACAAATATGCCGCTTTTATTTGCTTTCTGCAGATAGCTGAGTGCAAGACTTTAACCTGTGTTAGACTCGTTCCCAATCTTCTAGCAATGGCAGCAATTCTGTGAAGATAATTGCAAACCAGTATGGGTCAGGCATTGAAGGAACTCGACCATCAAAAGATATTAAATTCAGATTTAGTACAATTATGGAAACCTGCATTTGATGACAATTTTTGTATGACATTGTACCTTCATCAAAGATTGATGCTAAAGTGTTGTTGCTCATACATCAGATAACAGGTGTGGTGAAATC